TGGCGGCGGACTTCCCTGGATTACCACTTTATAGCACCCTTTGATATGCGGAGCGAGGTATGTGCTTCATTGTAATTGTATTTCATTGTATTTAATATAAATTCATTTCATATAATGACTGTTGCTTGCTGTGCTGTTATCCATGTATGCTAAAGTGCATTTGTCAAAGGATTATTTTGTATCTGGCTAAATTGCCTTTGTTATTTCCTTTTTTAGTTTTCATGGTGTTGGTGTTGGTGTTGGTGCTATGCACACTCATCTGAATTAAAGTACACCTGTCTGGAAACACTCCCAAGCCTGTTTATTCCAAATTGAAGGGATGCTACACTTACTGTGAACCTTTGTCAACATAATTATGAGGAGAGAAAACATGCACCGGGAGTTCAGTCTCCCCCTCATTCTGTCTTACATGAAAACACAAGTACTTCTACGTGTTCTTCGGAGGATATTATTGAGCTCACTCTTGCATAAACTTTATTCTTTCGGAGCATAATAATTGGAGTATTTGCATAACTTGGGAAAGGAGTTGTTATACGGGAAAAGCTAAGAGATAGCATTGTGTTACGTTTTTTTTTGTTGTTGTCAGTTTTCCTTTGTCAGTGAAGCATGTCGTGCTGGTAACACAATCAGTGCTACGGCGACGCATCTGAATGCAAGTTCCGACTCAAGCAATTTCGCTTGATTATTTAACTGTTCCGCCTTTCATATGTATTCATAATTAAATGATGGAATCATTTCAGTTCAGCTTATTGTTTTGATCTGTATCACTCAAACAGTACTGTCTCTAAATAAATGATTTCTGAATTTTCTGCCATGTTTTTCCTGTTGGCACCCCGCTGTGCATATTTGTGAGCTGAGCCAAACGGAGTCGCTCGTCTCCAACCACGTGTGAAAACCACGTTAATGGCTACAGGATGACTTTCAGGGTGCTGTATGTGTTTATGCGGCACTTCTTGGTGCCATCACTATAGATTTGTGCATGTATTATTAAAGCTGCTGCATAAAGTAACTCATACTGAATCTACTCTGCATTTCTTGCAACATTGTCATGATCTGAAGCTGAAGCTACACACCGAGGTAATGGATTGTTTTTCTCAATATTGTGAGATTTTTATAACCACGGTGGGGTCACATTCTGCTTTCTGGAAATATCTGGAAATATATATATATATATATATATATATATATATATATATATATAAACACAAACTGGTGTATAAATGCATATGCAACTGCTCCGTGTTTGAACATAACTGCTGAAAATAATGGTGAATGAACTGAATACATACGGACAGCTCTCACCCCAGCCACAGACTGTTTGCCCTCCTCCCCTCTGGGAGGCGCTACAGGGTGCTCCGTTCCCGGACCAGCAGGTTAAGGAACAGCTTCATCCCTGCGGCTGTCACTCTACTGAACTCTGCCCCCCACCCCCACACACATCTCCCTCAGTGACTGTACTCCCCCCTCCACCCTGGCTTGACTGCCACACCCTCCTCCAGCCACTGAACATTTGCACTGTTATTGCATATCCATTTCTTACTCTTTCATATTGCATAACTATTTCTTACTGTACATATCTATTTATTCACTTATTACACTTTACATATGCACACACGTTTTGCTATTTTGCACTTCTGGTTGGATGTTAAACTGCATTTCGTTGCCTCAGTACTTGTACCCTGTGCAATGACAATAAAATTGAATCTAATCTAATCTAATCGAATAGCTAATTAAATGAATAATATATGAAGATGTCTAGCTATTTGGGTGGAGGGCAGCAGGGGGGGTTGTTTCTTAAATTTCAACCTTGATTCGTTCTATAAGTGTAAATGACTTAAGTTAACACAACCTCAGACTCGTGTATCTTCTTAAGGTGACATGACACAGAATATTGTCTGTTGGAAGAGAGGATGTGGGCGGACCAGGGTCCCATCTGCTTCTGCTGCAAATATTTGTAGCTGTTAGAGATCTCAACAACAGAGAGACAGGGCTCCGGTTGCTGTGCAATAAGTTATTCGACCTCTTGTCTAACATTTTAGTTTCAGTGTGCATAAAACGGGTTTCCTGTTCGACATATTATCCTTTTTCCGCGCCCGGAACTAATCAAGTAATGAACAGTCGTTCATTGTTTATCATGTGAGATTATGTACGGTTGTTTAACATTTTGCTACTGGGATACACCAAAAAAAGCCTTCTGGAGATGTTTATCTATCTAATATGTTTATGTAAACCTAAGATAAGATATGACGCAATTATATAAAACAGTCACGATAACCAACTACTAAAATACAGTATAACTTATCTGTTAAATACGTTTAAATACCAGTAAGCATTTATATGTGCTGATTTTTACAACAATAGCGCGCCGTCAGTTAAGGGAACCGTGAGTGATATATTATGCAGTGTCGTAGAGCTTTGTCCATGTTATCGGTGAAATTGATATTTCTCCCAGTGTGGATCCAATTAGACTCCTGTGGTCCTAATGAAGCAGATAAATAGTCTTCATGGACAACTAATACTTTCCTACCCTCTGACACGGAGGATCTGATAAACCTGACCGCGGCTCGACATCTGTAGAGGCACGAATTTTAATGGTGGGCTCTTTAATTGGGCTGGAGTCATCCCAGGGATGAATATCTGTTAACTTAATAATTTCTGCTACCAGTGAGACACGCCACTGGATCTCACTAACCAGAAACAAAGAATGAGTTGTCTTCAAATCAGCTATTGTCTGGTCAGGGCAACCTAACCGGTCAAGGGTCACCGGGGTCCCATCTGCTTCTAGACTACCACATCCGTAATAAATGAATCACACGTCTGCTTGCCAAATGCTGCAAACATTTGTAGCTGTTAGAGAGCTCAACAACAGAAAGACAAGGCTTACCATTGTTGTTTTTAACTCTGCGGAATACAAGCTGACAATTTAGTTTAGTGAAAGTAAGAAGTGCCAAGGGATGAAGATAAGAAAGCATTTTAATTAGATTATAGAATTTTCCAATTGTCTCCCACTCACTTAGGCAGAGACACACACACACACACACACACAAACAGTCATACAGGAGCACAGCATTATCTTGTTTGAATAGAACATCAAAGATGCTATAAGAGATGTAAACACTTTATTAAAAGAAACATATTACATAAAAAACATCTTAACAAATTAAGGAGAGCTTGGTGGGATAAATGGCTGGATAGAAAAGTTACAAAGAACCAATGACCTGCCTGAGAATCTTCAAGGTCCAGGAAACATTGTTGCATTGTAATCATGTAGCCTAAATAAGTTATAGTGCTTTCTTTCCTATGAAACTAGTGAATCATATGTGGCAATATAAAAAGACGCCTGAATTGCAACTTGATAATAACTATAACTTTAAATAATGTTGTGTCTCAGTCAATATAGCTTCACAGGTGCTCTCTGAACAGAGACACATTGTGTGACGGGTCAACTGATTGTCAAGGTACTTTGGGCGTCATTGTCAGACAATCTCAGGGGAACTCATGGGGGCAGATTTATGTACAAAAGTGCAAAACAAAGTGACCTCACAGAAAGATTAAAAACACTCTTATTTGTTTTGAAGATCAGCTCAAGATGTTGTACAGCCCTCCCTGTTTTATCATATGTTATTTACAGTTTCGGAGGCGGAGAAAAACCTTTGAGAAATGTTGTATTCAAAAAGAAGAAGAAACTCCAGACAGACAGAGGTCATCACAGATCCAAAGGTTAAAATCAAATGTATTTAATAAAAGAGATGGCATTGTGGTAAAAAGAACATCTCAGCTGAGGAGCTGCTGGTCTCAGCAACCAACAGGCCCCAGGTCAGTCCTTTGACCATCCCTAGTGCCCGTCTGTCGCCTCCACCAGTGAACTCGAGAACAATGGTTCCTACAGGTATTTATAACAATGCTTAAAGGTGTGAAAGTCAGTGTCCACACCTCTGGGAGTGGTCTTCTGGTGAGTTCAATGTAACTCGGATTTTGAATGATCCTTAGTCAATATCAGTGGTTGTGCAAGTATTACATGCATGCATTCCAGTTGATTACATTAAATACAATCATAACTGCATTGGTATTATTCTATTACAGTTGCAGAATTACAGTGGTTTTACAATATTGTCATTACTTTATTGATTACAGTTTCAGAATCATGGCTGTATTTCGGTGTACACTATATGCATTTTATTAATTTTATGAACCGGATCGTATATTTGTTTCTAATATCCTACAGAAGCCTTGATGCGTACCTTCTGTGTGTGTTGTCTATTCTGTCTCTTACTTTCAAGCATTATTAATAAATGTACTGAACATGATTTTACACCAGTGTTGAGTAGTATTTTTCCAACACAAACACAGGTCAGTGAACATCTGATATTCTTCAACTGTGAAGACAATGTTGCAAAGATCGGACACTCAAATGGGCAATTCCCAGATGAAATCAAGCTGTTATCTCCACCGGCCCCCCAAAGACAGCCGCCATCTGTAAAAACACTTCCTGAGCAAATGTGTGCTGGTTACAGCCACACGGGTCAACTCTGGGTCACTGCAACGTCAGGAGAAAACTATCCATCAAGTGTCTTCCATCCCCCCCATCAAAAAAGCAATGCCTTCGGCAGAAAAGATGACAACATAAGAGGTGCTTTAACTTGTAAAACCTTTAATACAGCCACTTAAATCCATGATCAATTTGACTCTTTATGCTATAAAAAAACTGTGTACAGTTCGATGCATTCATAAACACAAAAATGCAACGTTTTTGTGTAGGAACCGTTTTTTATGCGGAACCTTCATTTTTGTTTCGCATTTTCAGGGGGTCGATGGAACCTTTTGTCCGGCATTATTTGTCATCCGTGTAGAAAACAAACCTCGGGTGGTTCATTGAGTGCGTGAACTCTCACCTGTCAGTGTCGTAATGTATAGAGTTAACGCTCCTTACTGGCACGTGATGGTTGGCTGGGAACTATTAACGTTACCAGCAGCCATGCGGCTCCTTTAACCGGCGTTAGCATCACCGCACGTTAGCTCAGCAGCTAACAGCTGTTTCACGCGTGTGATCATGTTGACACCTTTAACGACCGTAACTCGTTATATTAAAGCATTCGTCAAAGCGTTTGGCCACACGAGCGCAGCCAGATGCTCCTCAAACAGCTGTCGGCCCGATTCTAAACCTTCGGAGAACACAGAGGTAGTCGGACAGCGGATTTTGACCCCAGAGTTCAAACTTAGGCTGTTCACCCTGAACTGCAGATTCTGGACGGAAATGCCCGAGCTGTGGCCCTTTGACGATCCGTACTGGGCCATATACTGGCCAGGAGGACAGGCGCTCTCGAGGTGGTAAAGCAATAAACCGTAGTTTTGTGTGACTGAGTGACTGTTGAGTCTCATCCGGGAGCCACTGTGTGCAGGTACCTCCTGGATAACCCCGCAGCCATCACTGCAAGACCGTGTGGTGCTGCTCATGTAGTTGCCAATGACATTGATCTTGGTATGCATCCGTATTTATTTTGGTCTAATATTACATCAACAATGCCTACAGACATTCACTGAATACAGAGAGAGTTAACGTTAATGCCATTGTTAAATATGGTGGAATGATGCCCGTCTAGTAAGTCGGTGCTTGTGTTGCAGTTGCAGCCGTTGTGACCCACATGAACTGCGGGCTCCTGGAGCCGCCCGTTTGTCTAACTAACAACATGATTGACTCGCCACCAAAAAGCTTCGACTTGATCCTCCCAGGCGACATGTTTTACGACGAGGCGCTCGCCACCAGCCTTCGCGGCTGGCTGGACAACTGCATCGACAGCCACGGGACCAAAGACCCGATCGGAGATCCTGGAAGAGCCCAGTTCGAGGAACACCGCATTCCATGACTCCTGCGGCAGCTGGCTCAGTTTGAGCTGCCCGAGTGCGTCAGAGAGGAGAACTGTGGTCTGACCTGCAGCAGTGTTTGGTGCTATTGTCCTGAAATGTGAGGACAGCAGAGGATCCTCACTGCTTCCTTGTTTGGATGTGAAAAACAAAGACTGTGTGAGATGTTATGTGATTACATTGTATTGTGTGTGTGATTAAATTATCATCTAGTATCACTGGTTATCTTACAGAAAATGGTCTCTCTCCTTATTCTTAGACCCCACCCAGCCTGGTACCTACTGATCCAAAGACCCCACTTCCCAGAATCCTCAGCGTAATATTTGGTGAAACATGTCAAAGACAATGGCAGAAAGTCAGTCTGATCTTTTTGCTGCTTCTTTACACTTTATTGACCTGAACCTTTTCTAAAACTACACTGCAGATGGGCTGAATTTCTGAGGGACAGTTTGGAAAAGCGGGTATCCGGATTTTCAGACCCTTTCAGAGAAACACGCCCAGCCGACCCGTGTAACGCGATGACACATCATTTATGCCCCTGAAATTTACTTACAAAGTATTTTAAGATGCTTTACAGGGCCATTGGCCATAAACAACGCCAAGGACCATTATAAAGCAATTCAATAATGAATAAAAAATAATTGTTAGCCCTTGAGATCAGAGACGATTAAACATATATAATTGGCTGTAGGCTAAATTTAATATTTTATGGTTCAAAGAACTTGCATATAAAAGCCACATTGCCATTCTTGACACCATCATACAAAAAAAAATACTGTGATACCTTAAAAACTGTTTTGTTTTCAACTAGTACAAAAAAACGTAGTGCATTATAGTCCTAATTTGCTCCATACTGCGTACACTGGTATAACTAGCTGAAGACAGCTATTTTTATGCATTTTATTTATTTATTTATTATTTTTTTACGTACTGTATGTATTCATTTTCAATACACACCCATGACGTGCTTTTGTACTTGAGCATCTCCATAGTTGTTCTGTTGTGGCTGTTTGATCACAGCGAGGAGGGTGAGGTGGGGGGTCGGGGGGTCAACTGCTGCTAAAGTCCAGTCTGTGCTTCGGTATTCAACCTTTGATGCTTTTCATACGTAATGAAAATACAAAGTTCTGTCTAACTAAGACAGAAACCATTCAAGTCACACAGGTTGCAGATTACTTCTTTTTTTTTTTTGACTTTTTCGCCATGTGCTATTCTTTTCTGTTTATCTTTGTGATGTCTTTATTTCAGGCTAATTGAGGAATTGTCAGATCTTTCTACAGCACATCCTCACTTGAAAAGAAATAATTATTTATCATAATCACAAACCTTAAATTTCATCCTGGTTTTCTTTTGCTATAACTTCGAAAGGCTTTTTTTCAGATAAATGTCTGGATGGACAGACGATGTGTAGTGTGCTGCATTGATAAACAGCATGATTCTCATGCAAAGAACTGAACCTTTGCTTTCATTCTTAAGTGAGCGAGTGCAGCGGAATATGGACTGCAGCCCATCAACATGAGATGCACAACAGTTTTAGCAAAGACAATGAGAGTATAACAAATATGTATAAAGAATAATGTGTCTGTGGGCATGTTGCTAAAGCTTAAAAAGAGGGGACACAATGACATACAGTGCATCCGGAAAGTATTCACAGCGCTTCACTTTTTCCACATTGTTATGTTACAGCCTTATTCCAAAATGGAAGATCTCTCCAGAGATGTTCAATGGGGTTCAAGTCAGGGCTCTGGCTGGGCCACTCAAGGACATTCACAGAGTTGTCCCGAAGCCACTCTTTTGTTATCTTGGCTGTGTGCTTCGGGTCGTTGTCCTGTTGGAAGATGAACCGTCGCCCCAGTCTGAGGTCCAGAGCGCTTTGGAGCATGTTTTCATCAAGGATGTCTCTGTACATTGCTGCATTCATCTTTCCCTCAATCCTGACTCGTCTCCCAGTTCCTTCCGCTGAAAAACATCCCCACAGCATGATGCTGCCACCACCATGCTTTGCTATAGGGATGGTATTGGCCAGGTGATGAGCAGTGCCTGGTTTCCTCCAGACATGACGCTTGGCATTCAGGCCAAAGAGTTCAATCTTTGTTTCATCAGACCAGATCATTTTGTTTCTCATAGTCGGAGAGTCCTTCAGGTGCTTTTTTGCAAACTCCGGGCGGGCTGTCATGTGATTTTTACTGAGGAGTGGCTTCCGTCTGGCCACTCTACCAAACTGGCCTGATTTGTGGAGTGCTGCAGAGATGGTTGTCCTTCTGGAAGGTTCTCCTCTCTTCATAGAACAATGCTGGAGCTCTGTCAGAGTGACCATCGGGTTCCTGGCCACCTCCCTGACTAAAGCCCTTCTCCCCCGATCGCTCAGTCTGGCTCGGCAGCCAACTCTAGGAAGAGTTCTGGTGGTTCCAAACTTGTTCCATTTCCGGATGATGGAGGCCACTGTGCTCATTGAGACTTTCAATGCTGCAGAAATCTTTCTGCACCCTTCGCCAGATCTGTGCCTCGATACAATTCTGTCTCGGAGGTCTACAGATAATTCCTTGGACTTCATGGCTTGGTATATGCTCTGATATGCACTGTCAACTGTGATACCTTATATAGACAGGTGTGTGCCTTTCTCAATCATGTCCAATCAACTGAATTTAGCACAGGTGTACTCCAATTAAGTTGTAGAAACATATCAAGGATGATCAGTGGAAACAGGATGCACCTGAGCTCAATTTTGAGTGTCATGGCAAAGGCTGTGAATACTTATGTACATGTTATGTTTTCGTTCTTTATTTTTAACAGATTTGCAAACATTTGCAAAAAACAGTTTTCACTTTGTCATTATTGGTTGTTGTTTGTAGAATGTTGAGGAAAATAATGAATTTAGTCGATTTTGGAATAAGGCTGTAACATAATGTAACAGTTGGGATTATTACCGCCGCCTTATAGGGGTTACAAAGCACTTACTCTGGAGAGGACAGAGTGGGACAGGATCTGGGTCCCCCACACTCAATGCCTTTGGCCTCGGTGCTCAGGTGAGTGAACAGGTTACTATTTAGCAGCTGGACTGGACGGTAGCTTCTTAGACGGGGCAAAGTGGGCTTCAGTAGGTGGTCGTCTGAAGTGTGTGTGGGGTGCGTGAGGTAACCCCCCCTCCCACTCTACCTAGGTCTAGATAAACAGGTGAGGCGCCCCTACCCCAGGTAAACAGCCCAATATACTAGACTAAGTTAAACAAACACGTACAGCTGTTATTCCCTCTATTGTTTACTCGAGGATAAACACAGAGCACAAGGAAAACATATTCAAATACGAGACAGTTATATGGGATGGTTTCATTAATACAGTCACCTAGAAACCTCACGAATGGCTACTCAATACCTCTGTTTCACCTCACCATCAAACATTGGGTGCTTAACTTGACACTTAGTGGGCCATACCCGTCTATTGTAAGTTCTCATGGAACCTGGGGAACCAACGTTCACCCTTGTGACAACTAAAAATAGCTCCCTTTAACCAGAACAGGAAATTTAACAGAGAATATAGCTTACTTCTAAAGGCATTTCACATTCAATTCACATTACAATAAACTTACTTTAGATGGCAAAATAAACAGTTACTCAGCATCTGCTGGAGAGAGGGCTAGCGCAAATTGTGGCACCGGCAACTCGCTGAGGCACTTCCTGTTGCAGGTTGCGGTGCCACGGCGAATCGTGGCAGCTGCCTCGAGTTTACGGCAACTGCCTCGCCTGTTGCCTCGGCTGAGTGAGGTACCTCGAGCGGTACCACGAATTCAGGGGCCGGTTCATCGGTCGAGAGAGGTACCTCTAGCGGTACCTCGAGTTTAAGGAGTCTTGCCACGACCTAACGGAGGCATGCAACGACAAAAGGGAGCGGTGCATCGGCTGATAGAGGTACCGGGAGTTTAAGGGAGAGGTGCCACGGCTGTTAAGGGAGCTGTGCCTCGGCTGATAGAGGTACCGGGAGTTTAAGGGAGAGGTGCCACGGCTGTTAAGGGAGCTGTGCCACGGCTGATAGACGTACTGGGAGTTTAAGGAAGAGGTGCCACGGCTGTTAATAGACGTACCGGGAGTTTAAGGGAGAGGTGCCACGGCAGTTTCCGTTAATTTTAGTATTCATATGTATGCAACATGTGACAGTATAATACAGTTTAAGTACGACTGTTATCTGCGGGTTGAGTTGCTGTGGCGAGTCGTGGCAGTGGCCACAACTTCACGACAGCTGCCTCAACTTTGCTGCAATGATGCCTCGACTGTTGCAGTTTTCTTTTCATATTTTGACAAAATGTGACAATACTATCCTGTACTATGCTGTACTCTGTCCTTAAGAGTACGAGTGTTGTTGGTTGTAATTGGTTTAGTCATAAAACGGCTATAAGTGATGCAATAGCTTCCCGTTTAAGTTCAGCTAAGCTAATATGGGCTAAGACCACTCGTTGCCTTGGTTACGATAACTACTTTCCGCCAGCGCCCCGAATGAATGCAAATTGTAAATATTGATGCATTGTAACGTTGAAACTATTGAGAAGTGCTGAAAGCTTTTTGTGTATATTATATATATATACTAGATGAAATATATTTTATTTCACCCACTAGTAATATTATATATTTTTGTCAATATTTGTAAATATATTTTGTCAAGAGTACTAGGCTTAAAACAAAACTGTTGATTTTTTACGGACTTATCGGCAGATATCCAGCCTCCCAGAGAAGTCATCTGACCTCTTGCACCTACTTTCTTCTTTCGCTCTGTCACTCAGTCCCTCTCCTCATACTCACAAAGCCGGCAATCACCTTGACTACATCTTTACTAGAAACTGCTCTACCACTAACCTCTCTGTAACTCCACTTCAAGTGTCTGATCACTTCTTCATCTCTTACTCCCTTCCACTCTCTATAACTAACAAACCTCCCTCATTGACTGACTCTGTACCTGTTCGTCGCAATATTCTCTCCCTCCTCGCTGGCATCCTCTGTTCTATCAGCTCTCTCTTCAACTGATTCCTTCTCACTCTTGCATCCAAACGCTGCTGCAGAGACTCTCCTCTCA